AGAATTTTCACCATTACACCTAACAAAGTTTATATAGAAAATCAAGTTTCAAGTTCCAGCTTAAAATACAAGAAATAAATATCAAACTCCTGTTGCTTTGTTTTTCCAGTGTCATAAAAAGTCTCAATAAAGTATGTTCCTTTAACACAACTCCTGGCAATTTTATGACACCCACTGTAAGGACTTTAGGACTTTGAAAAATAAAACTAAAAAGTAAGTACTACTTGTATTTCCCAAGCTGACCATGACTTTTCATATCTCCATGACTTTCACTATATTTGACACAGAGAGTTGAAATCATGTTGGAAGATAAGTGGGTAGGAGGGAAGGAAAAAGAGGAAGAACATAGTTGTTTCATTCACTCAACAAATATTTATCAAATGCCTACTGACCAAACTGTTCTAGGTATCTGGAAAACATGGCTAAACAAAAAGGGGAAACACAAATTTATAAAGGATTTCTGTTGCTAGCAGCAGCAACTAAGTTATAGTGATAAGATACATGAGCTAGCACTCCTGGATCCCATATACCCATTGATAATGGTTTCCTTCTACTTCTTCCTTTACTATAAAACATACAGAAAACAAACTAAAAACAAAAATTCTCTTGAACATTTTTTCAGAAACTGAAGTAATATATCTGAGGTAAAGAACCCTCTAGGGATGCACTACATACAGTCAAGGATATGGGCATTATTGCTAGAAAGCAGATTAATCTCCTTCTCATGCTGTCATATCATCTCCTCTCTTACTACTGCAAAACATGCAGTGAAAAGCAAGGTCCATGGGGATGGGAGTCTGGAAACAGCAACATGTTCTGAAGATATGGAGGATGGCAGAGGACTCTTACGCAGTAAGAGTATGTTACCACTAAAGAGATAGGGAACAAGATTTGGTTGCAAGACAACAAGAATAGCACACATAAGAGAAGAATGGTTAGCTTCAGAAAAGTAAAGCAGTTATAATTTTTCCAAAGAGGACACTCTTGTAAAGGAAGATTTGTCCCTACTAGGTCTGCTACTCTTGAGCTTTAATTAGTAAATCACAATGCATAATGCAGGTGCATCTGAAAGGCTAGAGTCACCATTATGCTATCTGTTAAAACCATCTTTCATAATCAAGTCAACCATAGCTTTCCACAGATACGATGCACTACCATGCCCAGAGTCATCTGCGGTTTTAAAATAAATTTTTTTTACTCTTTTGTTCAGGCCTATTCCACAAGACACTAAACAGAAGCAAAAATCTTAAGATTCTGAGTAAAATTTAAAAGCTGTTGGAATATGAAAGATTTTCTATCACTTAAATTATTACAATTATTAAGCATGCATAAAAATTACACATTATAATAAAAATAATATGGTTATAACAGTAAATAGTGAATGGATAGCTTCAAGACTCTGTAGACTCTGAATCTGGTCTTTGGAAATAAAAGCATAGAGCAGTCAGCTAAATATTGAATATACATTAAAAAAATCTATAAGAATAAGTGTTCAAGCCAACCAAATAAACTATTCCTTTTTCATACTAAAAACAAGATCTTCACTTTTAATACCTTGAAAACAATTTTAGTTCTGCATTAGTCCATTCTTGCACTGCTATAAAGAAATACATAAGACTGGGTGATTTACAAAAAGAGGCTTAATCGGCTAATTGTTCCACAAGCTGTACAGGAATCCTGGCTAGAGAGACCTCAGGAAACTTTCAGAACGCAGAAGGTGAAGGGAAAGCAGGCACGTCTTACATGACTGGAGCAGGAGGAAGAGAGAAAAGGGGGAGGTACTACCCATTTGTAAACAAGCAGATTTCATGAGATCTCACTCACTATCACGAGAACAGCAAGGAGAAAATTCACCCCCATGATCCAATCACCTCCCACCAGGGCTCTCCTCCAACACTGGTGATTACAATTTGACATGAGATGTGGGCGGGGACACAAATCCAAAGTGTATCGCTCCACCCTCGGCCCTTCCCAAATCTCATATCCCTTCTCAACAGTGCCCCAAGTCTTAACTCATTTCAGCACTAACTCAAAAGTCCACAGTCCAAAGTCTCATCTGAGACAAGGCAAGACCCTTCTGCCTATGACCCTGTAAAATAAAAAACAAGTTAGTTACTTCCAAGATACAACGAAGGTATAGAATTGGGTAAATACTCCCTTTCCAAAAGGGAGACAGTGATCAAAAGACAGGGTCTACAGGCCCTAGGGCATGTCCAAAACCCAGAAGGGCAGTCATTAAATCTCAGGGGCCCAAAATAATTTCCTTTGACTCCATGTCTCACATCTAGGCAACACTGATGTAAGGGGTGGGCTCCCACAGCCTTGGGCAGCTCTGCCCCTGTTGCCCTGCAGGGGTACTTTCCCTGCAGCTGCTTTCACAGTCTGGCATTGAGTGCCTAAGGCTTTTCCAGGCATATAGTGCAAGTTGGTGGACCTACCATTCTTTGGTCGGGAGGATGGTAGTTCCCTTCTCACAGCCCCCACTAGTCAGTGTCCAGTGTGTGGATTCTGTGTGGGAGCTCCAGTCCTACATTTCCTCTCTGCACTGCCCTAGCAGAGGTTCTCCATGAGGGCTGTACCCCTGCAGCAGGCTTCTGTGTGGACATCCAGGCATTTCCATATATCCTCTGAAATCCAGGCAGAAGCTTCCAGGCCTCAACTCTTGTCCTCTGTGACCCACAGGCTTAATACCATGTGGAAGCTGCCAAGACTTATGGTCTGGAGCAGTTGACTGAGATGTTATCTGGGACCCTTTTAGCCACAGCTGGAGCTGAAGCAGCTGGGACACAGGGAGCAATGTCCTGAGGTTGTGCAGGGCAGTGGGGCCCTGGGCCTGCCCCACAAAACCATTCTTCCCTCCTATGGCCGCAGGCCTGTGATGGTAGGGGCTGTGGTGAATGGCCCCAAAATGCTTTGAGGCATCTTCCTCATTGTCTTAGGCATTCAGCTCCTCTTTTTTATTTTTATTTTTTAATATTTTATTATACTTTTGCAAATTTCTACAGCCAGCTTCAATTTCTCCCCAGAAAATGGGTTTTTCTTTTCTATCACATGGTCAGGCTGTAAACTTTCCAAACTATTATGCTCTACTTCCCTTTTAAATATAAGTTCCAGTTTCAGACCATCTCTTTGCAAACACATATGTGTTTCAAAGTTTCACAGATCCCTAGAGCAGTGGCACAAAGCTGCCAGTCTCTTTCTACAACATGGCAAGAGTGACCGTTACCCTAGTTCCCAGTAAATTCCTCTTCTCCATCTAAGACCTCCTCAGCCTAGACATTACTATGCATATCACTATGAGCATTTGGGTCACAACCATTCAACAAGTCTCTTGGAAGTTCCAAGCTTTCCTTCATCTTCCTGTCTTCTTCTGGGCCCTCCAAACTGTTCCAAACTCTGCCCATTATGCAGTTCCAAAGTTGTTTCCACATTTTCAGTATCTTTATACCAATGTCCATTCGCTGGTACAAATTTTCTATATCAATCCAATCTCACAATACTATAAACATCTGAGACTGGGTAATTTATAAAGAAAAAAGGTTTAGTTGGCTCATGGTTCTGCGGGCTGTGGGAAAAAGAGTTTCTGAGGTGCCAGATGAGTTGGTCTCCCTTGTATGAGACACCTATGGGGAGCCATGGGCAGCCTCTGAGGAGAAGAGTCTCCTTATTGCCTTCATATCTTTATGCCCTGAGAGCGTAATAGCTCAGCGGCATTCCACAGGTTGCTCAGGGAGATAACACTCCCTTGAAGCAGTGGAGTATAATCAAACATCTTGGCTCCTCCTGAGACCCACTCTCACTTGTTTCAATCCCTATAAAGATCTTAAGTAGCTTAGACACACACCTTTGCTCAATGAAATTCACAGAAACCTGCCACTGCTATATATCTTATTGAATGACTCACGAGTACTCCTTCATTGATTAATCCTTTTCCTCATCGCTTCCTACCCCTCCCGTCTGCCCTAAGAACAAAGATCTTGTAAACCAATAAATTAGGCGGAGAAGAGCTCTGGGCCACGAGCAAGCCTCCAATGTTCCGGTCCCCTGAACCCACCTTTTAAACGCATATTCTGTCTCTTTCTAACTCCTTTGTCTCCACTGAACTCAGGGTACCCGCCAGGTGGTGTGGGGCTGGTTTCCCCAACAGAGGCTGTACAGGAAGCATGGCTGGGGAAGCCTCAGGAAATGTTCAATCATGGTGGAAGATGAAGGGGAAGCAGGAATGTCTTACATGGCCAGAGCAGGAGGAAGAGAGAGAATGGGAAGATGTTACACACCTAAGACCACCAGATCTCATGAGAACTCACTCACTATCCTGAGAAGGGAAAGGGGGAAATTTGCACCCATGATCCAATCACCTTCCACCAGGCCCCCTCCTCCAACACTGGAGGTTACAATTCCATATGAGATTTGGGCGGGGACACAGATCCAAACCAAATTAAGTTCTAATTATAAAATGCATTTATGTAAAAGCAAAACACTCCTATTTGCTTCTATAGAGAGTCACCACTAACCTATGAGTCATTACCTTCCTTTAAATATTCTGTAATGCAAAGTCCACCAATAATTATACCTTTCTGGCTAAAGAATTTTTTAAACACAATATTTAAATAAGAAGATATGACAACCAAAGAAAAAAGATATTTTCAAAAAACCATATATTATTTACAATTTGCATTAGTTTATGCTTCTGTCATAATTTATGAGAATGCACAGAATTAAAACACAGAACTAGATGTATATTGAGAAACAATTTTAGGATGTTTCAAAATTCAAATGAATTCTCATTTTAGAACTCAGACATTTTATATATCAAATATAATATATAAGCTTCAACTCTGGTTGGGGGAAAAGGGCAATTTCTATTGACAAAAGATTTACTTTCATTAAGCAAAAACAAGCTTTCCCATTACAGGAGTCAAAGTTGTAAGCCAAGTTTCAAAGTGCTGTAGGCAACTTCACATGAGAATATTCCCAAGTAGAATTTATAATTTACATACCTGTACAGATGAATATTTAGAAAAATTTTCCATTTGATACCGCCTAAAATCTTCACTTAGTCTTTGATCTGAAACAAGAGGGAGAACAGATTTCAGTTCATTGAATAATGTTCAATTCTTTAAAACCAGAAATACAGTAATCATTTAATGTATCCGATGCAAAACGGGCTAGTCTCCACTGCTTCTCAAGAGAATATGAATCATCAATTTCAATACACCATTTTAAAACTTGAAAATAGGCCCTTTTCTATATCTAAGCCAACTAATCACTGCCAAAGTCAAAAAAAATAACATCTGCAAAGAACTACCTTTTCTGATTTCATAAACATGAATTCTCAGTCTCTGCTGGTGTGCTCTTCGGGTTAATGAAAGTAAAATATATTCTCCACATCTTATTCCTGCTACAAAAATTGAGAAGCATTGGGAAGATAAGCTATAGTCATATTTTTTAGAATTCTTAAAACCAATTGAAATTTTGAAACTCTTCCAGGACAAACCTCCACCTTGAGGAGAAATTGCAGGACAAAGAATCCAAATTAAACAGGAATGGGTAAGAGACAATGGGGGAAGACCTTTATTCACCAGAATAAAGGTGAGAGGTCTTGGTAATAACAAAGCCAGCCCAGGCCTGGTGGCTCATGCCTGTAATCCTAGCATTTTGGGAGACTAAGGCAGGTGGATCACTTGAGGTCGGGAGTTCGAGACCACCCCGGCCAACATGGCAAAACCCCATCTCTACTAAAACTACAAAAATCAGCTGAGTGTAGTGGCACATGCCTGTAATCCCAGCTACTTGGGAGGCTGAGGCAGGAGAATCACTTGTACCTGGGAGGCAGAGGTTGTAGTGAGGCAAGACCACACCACTGCACCCCAGCCTGGGTGACAGAGTGAGACTCTAAAAAAAAAAAAAAAAAGAAGAAGAAGAAAAGAGAAAGAAAAAGAAATAACAAGACCATATTTTTATTTACATCAAGAAAGGTAACATACATACAACATAGTACCCAATAAATTTGCAATCACACATTCTTTTCAAGATCACACAGAACATTTAATGTTGATTATTTACTGGTAAAAGAAAGTCTCAATAATGTTCAAAGGGCTGAAACCAAAGACAGTATGTTACCTTACAACAGCACAATAAAGTTAGTATCAAGAACCAAAAAACAACAACAACAACAACAACAAAGGAAAATCCTCTATATCCTCTATATGTTTGGAAGTTCAGAAATCACTTTTGGCCAGGCATGGTAGCTCATGCCTGTTATCTCACTGCTTTGGCAGGCCAAAGCAGGAAATCACTTGAGCCTAGGAGTTTGAGGCTACAGTGAGCTGTGACTGCACTACGCTCCAGCCTGGGAAACACAGCAAGACTCTATCTCAAAAAAGAAAAAAAAAAAAAAGAAGAAGAAGAAGAAGAAAGAACTCAGGAGGAATTACAAAATAAATTTTAAAGTATTTTGAAGTGAACAATAGTGAAAATGTGATACCTCAAAACTTTCTTAAAGAGAAATCTGTAGCTTTAATTGCATATACTAGAGAAAAAGTCTGAAGTTACAAATGCATTCCAAGAATTTAGAAAAACAGCACCAAATTAAATTCAAAGAAAGCCAAGTGGAGTAAATAAAGATAAGCCCAGAAAATAAAGAAACTGAAAATAAACTAGCAAAAAATGATAAAAACTATCTTCATCTCAAAGTTATTTTTAAAGAACATCTGATGAAATTCAAGATATATTCATAATAAAGCCTTAGCAAAGTAAGACTATAAGGGAACACTGTTATTATAATGAACGCTTATGTAAAATACACAACAAACATCATACTTATGAGTAAAAATGTTGAAAACTTTCCCCCGAATTAGGAATCACATAAGGATAAATTCTTATGACATTTACTCAACACTCTATTGGAGGTCAAAGTTAATGCAGTAAAACAAGTAAAAGACCTAAAAGGTACAAAGGCTGGAAAGGATGAAACCACTGTCATTATTCATAGTTATAAGTGCATATGTGATTAATCCAAAAAAACCACAGATACATTCTTAAAAATCAATCATTAAGATTACAAAGTTGTTAGATACAAAGTCAATATATAAAAATTAATTATATTTCTAGATACTGGCAACATAAAGTTAGAAAACAGTAAAAGATGCTATTTATAGTACCATAAAAAAAATCAATGCCTAGGAATAAATACAATAGAAGATGTTTTAGACTCCTACACAGAAAACTATGGAGTGTTTCTCTGGAAAAAACTTTAAAATTCATATGAAACCAAAAAAGAGACTGAATAGCCAAAGTAATTCTAAGCAAAAAGAACAAACCTGAAGGTATCATGTTTCCTGACTTCGAATTACACTACAGGGCCACAGTAACCAAAACAGCATGGTACTGGTGTGAAAAACAGACACATAGGTCAATGGAACAAAATAGTGAACACAGAATTACAGCCACATACCTACAACTATCTGATCTTCAACAAACCTGACAAAAACAAGCAATTGGGAAAGAATTCCCTACTTTAAATGGTGCTTGGATAACTGGCAAGCCATATGAAAAAAGACTGAAACTGGACTCCTTGCTTACACAATAAATAAATAATAACTCAAGATGTATTAAAGACTTAAATGTAAAACCCCAAACTATAAAAACCCCAGAAGACAACCTAGGCAACACCATCTGGACATAGGAGTAGGCAAAGATTTCATGACAAAAATGCCAAAAGCAATTGCAACAAAAGCAAAAACTGACAAATGGAAACCAATTAAAATTAGGAGCTTTGGCACAGCAAAGGAAACTATCTACAGAGTGAACAAGCTGCAGAGTGGGAGAAAATTTCCGCAAACTGTGCATCTGACAAAGGTCTAATATTCAGCATCTATAAGGAACTTAAATTTACAAGAAAAAATACCATTAAAAAGTGGGCAAAGCTCATGAACAGACACCTTTTAAAAGAAGACATATATATGGTCAGCAAGCATACGAAAAAAAGCTCAACATCACTGATCACTAGAGAAATGTAAATCAAAACCACAGTGAGATACTATCTCACACCAGTTAGAATGGTTATTATTAAAAAGTCAAAAAATAACAGATGCTGGTGAAGTTGTGGAGAAAAAGGAACATTTATACATTTTGGTGGGAGCGGAAATTAGTTCAACCATTGTGGAAGACTGTGGTAATTCCTCAAACACCTAAAGACAGAAATACCATTCAACCCTTTAATCCCATTACTGAGTATACATCCAAAGGAATATAAGTCATTCCACCACAAAGACACATGAGCATGCATGTCCACTGCAACACTATTCACAAGAGTAAAGACATGAAACCAACCTTAATGCCCATCAATGGTGGACTGGTTAAAGAAAATGTGGTACATGTATACCATGGAATACTATGCAGCCATAAAGAAGAACGAGATCATGTCCTTTGCAGGAATATGGATGGAGCTGGAGGCCATTATCCTTAGCAAACTAATGCAGGAACAGAAAACCAAATACGGCATGTTCTCAATTATAAGTGGGAACTAAATGATGAGAACACATGGAGGGGACCAACACACACTGTGGCCTATTGGAGGGTGAAGGGTGGGAGAAGGGAGAGGATCAGGACAAGTAACTAATGGGTATTAGGCTTAATACCTGGGTGACAAAATAATCTGTACAACAAACACCCACGACACAAGTTTACCTATATACCAAACCTGCACATGCACCCGTGAACTTAAAATAAAAGTTAAATTTTAAAAAAAGAAAAACTATTAATCACAATACAAACCTCTTTTTTCCCCTGAGTTTTCAATTAAGAAAAAAAAATAGATCTGCGTCCTCAGTAATTCAAATAGGGTAAGAAGTAAATTATGTATTAATAATGAGGGAAACACTTTCAATCTTCATAGATCGACTATAATCTGAAGAAAATTTTACTGTAACTTAAATTCTGTTATTTTCTTCATTCTACAAGTACTTATCTCACTTATTTACTTTGCATTTCCTGAATATATGAAGATGCTGGTGCATGTATGTATATATATACACACACATATACACATTCATTGAGTTTCAATTTGCTAATATTTTATTTTGGATCTTAGTTCCAACATGCATAAGTGAAACAGGTCTACAGTTTTCCTTTCTTGCTAGTATGCTTTTTGTGTAGTAGTTAAGAAAAGAGACACTGAAACTAGACTGCCTGGCTTCAAATCTCAGCTCAGTCACCTACCAGCTCTGTTAACCTTGAATTTGTGAAGGCACTTATCCAGAGGGTTGAGCTATCTATAGCTATCTATAGGTACAGCATTGGGTATGAGAATTGTAAAGGAAAATCAACCAATCATGGCATGAGGTGTTACTGGGCATCAGCTATAGAGAAGCAGGGGCATAATCACATTAAGATTACTGACAAGAGCAGAAGGACTAATGGGTAATGGTTACAGCCTGTAAAAGACACCAGTAAAAACAAACTAGGAAGCAGTCAAGGAAGTAAAGAAAATGAAGGGCTCAAAGGATAAAGGTCTGAGGAGGTCAAAGAACAGTTATAGTAGGAGTAAGATACTTGAGTTTAAGACATCAAAAAGTAGGGTAACTTGAATAGGACTTCTGCTTACAGTCAAGAAGAAATACCATGGACCACTTTTCTGCCTGACACATGAAAAAGCAAGCAAAATCATCAATGTCTTACAGTACACTAGACATCAGACAATGATAATCAGAGACATGAAACAAATGAGGTAAGCACTATGACTGCCCCACCTTAATGACTTAAGAGACTTTCCACGGCCATGATACGGGGGGAGGAAATGCAAGTGGAGATCACTGGACTCTTATTAAGAGGTGGAGCTGAGAAGTAGCGGAGATTAAGCGAACTAGAATTGGCAGGACAAAGTATAGAAGACTGCACAAAGAAAGAACCCTAGGGAATGTGAGACCTGCAGAGGTTCTTCTCGAGTACAATACAGAGTACTGAATAGCTCTTTATTTATTAAAGAAATTAAGTTTGTATTTTAAAACTTTTTCACAAAGAAAACTTCAGGTCCAGTTGGCTTCACTGGTGAATTCTATCAAATAT